TAATGCGGGAGAAGACGTCTGAGAGTCCATTGGACTGCAAGGAGATGCAACCAGCCCATCCTAAAGGACATCAGTCCCACTATTCATTGGAAGGATTGATGCTGAAGCAGAAACTCCAATACTTTGGCCACCTGATACGAAGAACTGATTCACTGGAAAAGTCCCTGATGCTGGGAAAGATTGAAGGCAGGAGGAGAAGGGGACGACAGAGATTGAGATGGCTGGATGGCATCACCGACTCAGTGGACATGAGTTTGAGTAAGCTTCGGGAGTTAGTCATGGACAGGAAAGCCAGGCGTGCTGCAGTCCATGGAGTCGTACAGATTCAGACATGACTAATCCAATGAATCCAACTGAACTGAACTGAACTGACTGAACAAGCTGGTGTAACAGGTCTGTTTTTACCTGAGGGAAGGATAGAATTGTTGTAGTCAGGCTTTCTGGGAAACAAACTCACTCATAATAACAATGCAAATGGTGGAGTGCAGTTTACTACACTGGTGGGCCCAAGGCAGAGTCTCCTCTTAGCCAAGGACCTGGACCAGTTTTTGTGAAAACCTTATATACCCTAAGTGTACGTGCCCAAACCCACCTCCCCAAATTCCCTGAAACTAGTCTGAACAAAGGAAAAGAAAGATAGAGTCTAAGTTAACCGATGATTTGTTTGCCTTAAGCCTAGGTAGTTAACAGTGGACAATTATCAATAGGCCTGTGGTCATACCCCAATAAGTATAATAGAATTTATGATTCTATTCAGTTACACAGATAATTAGGATATTCTTTTAGGCGATGGAGAGTCCAGGTACAAGCCCTAGGACTCTTCCTTCTGGGGTGTCTGGTTTTCCAGTTAGTATGTCATTTTCATAGATACTGGGCATATAGCTCAAAGTCCACAGTCTGGCCCAAGATGGAGTCCTGCTTTTAAGATGGAGCCCGTTCTGTCTGCTTCCTCCTTCAGAATATTTCCACATATCATGAAATCTAGTTGCCTGAAGGGAAAAAAATATCACGTTCAGGTGAGCTGTTTTCTTAGGATTTCTTTTCTTTTCCCCTTGTGCATGGAACACATACACACTAAAATCTTCTGAAAGGAAAGATGGGTGTCTATTTTAATGTTTAACCACCAGGGGGCTATAAATTATAAGGTCTACAGAAGAGAAAAAACATTTTTGGGCTAGGAATTTAGTTTTCTAGCAATCTTGAGTTGACGGGTAGGATATCTGCCTCATTTCCTCTCCCAGGAGCCAGTGGATCATGATAGTAAGATATAAGTAGTAAGATATAAATATAAATACTTGAGATGAATGAGTTTTAAATTTTAGAACAGGAAGAAACATGAAAAAATCATATAATCCGTAACAGTCATTTCATTGGCTTAAGAAACTGAGGTCCAGTCCAGAGACATTGATTTGCCCCAAATCATATATTGCATCAAGAATAGAAATAGGCCTTTCTTCATAGGAGGAATGGAGATGCAGATGTGTGTCAAGTCTTCAAATCAAGATTTGAATCACCTCATCAAGTAACTGGAGGGTCATAAATAGTCTGATTTCAGTGTAATAGAGCATGGTATGGTGAATTCTCTAAAGATACGTAAAATTTCTTCTTGCACATCTAGTGTTCCAGGGACAAATTTATTGATTACCGGTACCATGAAATATCATTTCTGTAATAGAAGTTTAAGTTTAAAAAATTATCAAACGATGCTGAATTAAATATAATCTTAAAATAGTCAGGAGGTCAGTATTTTTGTGTAAGCTTTCCCTTTCCTAGAAATTTTACTGTAGTATGTAGAAATAATAAATGCTAGAATCATCCTGTTGCAAGTTTCACATTTATAGAAGAAAGCAGCATGACTGCATTATATCAAAATAGTTGGTGGCACCAGAGTGGTCACAAAGAGTCAGACACGATGTGGCCACTGAACAAGACTATATTCAGTAGGTTATAAGGCGCCATCTGGTGGTCATCTGGAGAATTTAGCATTCCGCACCAAGCCGTCCAGCCAGCTCTGTCCCCTGCAAACTGTATGTAGAGCAGCGCCTATTCTGTCCTTTCGGGATAAGCAAGTTCATCCCAAGAAAGGCCCCTAGGACTTAAACATACCTTTTACTTAATTCATAGTAGCAACTATTTGTTTCCCAGAAAGAAGACTGTCTCCTGCAAACCTTGAAGTCTGGCTCATTTTATATTGCATTTGAGAATAAATGACTATTTTCCACAAGAGGATTTATCCCAGGTTTTTTTTCAGTTCAAAGTTATTGTCAACATCAGCACTAAGAAACTGGTCTATGAAATATTAGTTGAAATGACCCTTTAGATGTGCACTGTTTTATGACTGGGCCCATAAAATACAACAGATTTCTGAATGTAAATCTTAAGTTTCTGGCTTATGATACTTTATTAAAAATAGACAAAACTTCCTCAGTTATTAATATCAAATTGAAATGTGAATAAAATTAAATTATTTAGATGACCACTCTGTCAGTTCAATTGCTCAGTTGTGTCCGACTCTTTGCGACCTCATGAATCGCAGCATGCCAGGCCTCCATCACCAACTCCCGGAGTTTACTCAAACTCATGTCCATCGAGTCGGTGATGCCATCCAGCCATCTCATCCTCTGTCATCCCCTTCTCCTCCTGCCCCCAATCCCTCCCAGCCTCAGGGTCTTTTCCAATGAGTCAGCTCTTTGCATGAGGTGGCCAAAGTATTGGAGTTTCAGCTTCAGCATCAGTCCTTCCAATGAACACCCAGGACTGATCTCCTTTAGGATGGACTGGTTGGATCTCCTTGCAGTCCAAGGGACTCTCAAGAGTCTTCTCCAACACCACAGTTCAAAAGCATCAATTCTTCGGTGCTCAGTTTTCTTCACAGTCCAACTCTCACATCCATACATGACCACGGGAAAAACCATAGCCTTAACTAGACAGACCTTTGTTGGCAAAGTAATGTCTCTGCTTTTTAATATGCTGTCTAGGTTGGTCATAACTTTCCTTCCAAGAAGTAAGTGGCTTTTAATTTCATGGCTGCAATCTAGATGGTGCTATATAACCTATTGAATATCTTCTTGTGAGCCCCCGCCCCCACCCAGCTCCCCACCCGCCATGGACTGCAGCATTTCAGGCCTCCCTGTCCCTCACCATCTCTCAGAGTTTGCCCAAGTTCATGTCCACTGAATCCATGATGCCATCCAATCGTCTTATCCTCTGTTGCCCTCTTCTGCCTTCAATCTTTCCCAGCATCAAGGTCTTTTCCAATGAGTGGGCTCGTTGCATCAGGTGGCCAAAGTATTGGAGCTTCAGCTTCAGCATCAATCTTTCCAATGAATATTCAGGGTTGATGTCCTTTAGGATGGAGTGGCTTGATCTCCTTGCTATTCAAGGAACTCTCAAGAGTCTTCTCCAGCACCACAGTTCAAATACCGTCTACCATCTTGTTTTTACTGCCCTGTGCTTCAGGCTCCTTCCAGATGGCTTTTAATGATTGCAGGTCCAGTTTGAATTAATAGTTACTAATGATGTCTATAGTTGGTGATCAAATAGTATTTCTATTAGTTGAATGATCTGGGACAAGTCAGTTAGCCTCCTTGTGCCTCAGTTTCCTCATCTATGAAATGAGCAGAAGACTCTTTGCTCATATAGGAACCCACGACCTGGCCTCTTGACCTTTGCAGAATATACCAAGGATGAGCCTGTGACCTAAAAGCAGTGACTCTGAATCCTTCTCTGGGCTTATTTCAAAATAGAATTGGGAAAGCCAGCCAGGGCCTCCCTGAAGTGGGAGGATCACAATGTGGGATGCAGGTACTGGGGAAGCAGGGCAGGAACTGGCCTGGAGTAGGAAAAACTGACATTGAAAACTAGAGACACAGAGATAAGAGGACAAGAGAGCCCTGCAGTGCTCACTTCCCAAGGATTGATTAATCCAATTGTTTTCTCACATTTGGCAACAGGATGTCCCTCCAATAAATACTCTTTTCCACCCCAGCTAGTTTGACTTAGGTTATCATCACTTTAACCAAAAGAATTCTTACTAATCCAGGGACTCACTCATCCTGTTCATTCAAAAATACAGCCAAGCAATTTAAGTCTTTACCCCATAATCCCTTCAAGTCTAACTCCCTTCGTATTTAATAATACCAAAAGAGGAAAAAGCACAAAGACAGCAAAGGACAAAATAAGGGGAAACATTTTCAAGCTTGTGACTCATTAAAAGTAAGTTGAACCTTGAAAGGAAGTGCCTCCTCAGAAATGCTAAGCCCTTTATAAATGGTTCTTACTTCTTACAACCATCACTTCAGTTCTAAAAATATGGATGGCTCAGCCTTCCTAAAGATTCTCCTGCTGGGCAGTTCATTATTTTTTGGATGGTAAGTAAGTGGCATAACTTTATTCCAGTCCTGACTCTACTCTTTAAGACTAATGGGATAAGCATATATTTCCCTGTACTTATATTCTCAGAAACTCAAGGCTAAAGGAAACAATAGAAGATCTCAAGGCAATAAACCAAGGCAGATCTTGACCTCTCTTTGCCTCTCCCTCTCCCTTTTTCTCCCGCCCGCTCTGTCTCAGTAGAAACATGTGGGATCTTGAGTTCTGTTATACCATGTGCTGCCTAGGAAAGCAGAATCCTAAAATGAGTACACTGCTGGGGGGGTAGAGACATAGAGAATCTGGCAACCCCTCTATTATTTCATGGCTCTTTTAGATCCAGCAGGAACACACTCTAAATTAACCTGGAGCAGTAGAGAATCACTCCTCTCCTGATTAGTATGCAGGTCAAATACAGCTGTCTGATGTGTGGAGGAGTACTATAAAACATAAAAAAATAAAAACATGCTTTATAGGCTTTTATGACTATAAAAAAGTTCATTTTCATTCATCTTCTACATCATTGCAATAAAGAGCATTATGGGAACAGAATGATTTTTTTAAAAAATCTCAATAAATCATTACTCTTCCCCCATAATAGCAGTGTCATCTCTTCCAAACCTTCCCACCTTCTTTCTTGTTGAAAGTAGCCCAACAGTTTCCAGCTCTCTAAAATCACAGTATTATTTAGAATATCTGTGAAATGCCACTTCTCTCCACCCATGGTAGTTTATTCAGCCAATTCACATTTGTCCCTTTGGAATTCATTACTTTTCCTCCATTTCTGTAACTGTTTTTCCCGATGCAAACAGCCAACTCATTTGAAAAGTCCCTGATGCTGGCAAAGATTGAAGGCAGAAGGAGAAGAGGGCATCAGAGGATGAGATGGTTGGATGGCATCACCGATGCAATGGACATGAACTTGAGCCAACTTCAGAAGATGGTGAGGGACAGGGAGGCCTGGCATGCTGCAGTCCATGGGGTCGCAAAGAGTCGGACATCCCTGGGTGACTGAACAACAACTTAACTATTTTCCTAAACCGGATTCCAATGATCTCAGATTGGATTAGACACATCTGTGTTTTACTCTCTTTGTCTTCCCTGACCATGGGCAACCTCTCTCTACTCTCATCTGCAGGTATCCTTAGTGTGTCTCTGTTGCTTTTTTGATCAAAGCAAAACTCTTTGTTTTGACATCTGAAATCTTAATGGATACTTATTTACTTAGATGTTTATTTTTTAATCTATTCAAACCAGTGTAAACATTTTTGAGTGCTTACGAAGGTCTTTTGTCCTGGGTCCTAGAACTAGAGAAGTGAAAAAAATGAAAGCTCTACCATCTTGGAGATTCTAGAGTGGGGAAGCAGACAGGAAAAATTCAATTAATGTAGAGTATGTTAAGTGGAGGTAAGTGCTAAGAAGGCACAAAAAAGTATGGTAAGGAGGGTAGAAATTGTTGACTGGGCACAAGCTTGTATAAAGAAATCAGACTATTGGAGACAGTCAAAGAAGGTGACATTTGAAAAAAGACGAGAGGAGGTGTGGAGGTGTGTGAGGCAAATGGCAACCTTAAGGTAGAGAGTTCTTAGCAGAAGGGAAACAGTGCTTCAAAAATCCTGAGTCCTGAGTGTGCATGTAGCTTTGAGGAAAAAGCGAGACCAGGGTGTAGGGGTAGAGCAAGGCGGAGACAGTAAGGGAGCCTCCTTGAACCACGCGCGTACCAGGGGCTTTGCCCTGGGAGAGCTGGCAAGCTGTTTTAAGGGTTGAGCAGGAGAGCAGTGTGTTCTCACTTGAAACTATTACTCCGGTCACCACGTGGACGTTACTACATAGGAGAGAGAGGAAGGGTAGACGCAGGGCGATCCTCTCAGCGAAGTGGTCATTTTCCTTTGGACGGTGTGTTAGTCACTGAGTCGTGTCTGACTCTCTGCGATGCTATGGGCTGTAGCCCGCCAGGCTCCTCTGTCCATAGGATTCTTCAGACAAGGATACTGGAGTGGGTTGCCATGCCCTTCTCCAGGGGATCTTCCCGACCCAGGGATGGAACCCGGGTCTCCTGCATCACAGGTGGAGTCTTTACCATCTGAGCCACCAGGGGAGCCGTTGGACTGTGGTAGCAGCAGTGTAAGTAGTGAGAAATGAATCTATTTGGAAATTATTTTGTATTCACAGCTGATACGACTACCTGAATGCATAAGGAGGTGTGTAGGGAGAAAGAAAGGAGTGAAGAATTTTGAATTAACTGACCAGAAAGTTGGAGTTATTATTAACTGGTATTGGCAAACTACTGAAGATACCCGAGTATGCGTTAACAGAAAGATTCTACATCTTTCACTTCAAACTCTTCGTGACCCCATGGACTGTAGTTCACCAGGCTCCTCTGTCCATGGGATTTTCCAGGCAAGAGTACTGGAGTGGATTGCCATTCCCTTCTCCAGGGGATCTCAGACCCAGGGATCCAACACAGGTCTCCTGTGTCTCCTTCATTGCAGGCGGATTCTTTACCCATTGAGCCATTGAGGAAGCCCTTCCTTGCCTTAGGCCATAGCTTTCATTTCCTTTGCTTAAATCCCTCTTCTCTTTTGCAATATCCCCATTCAATTGAGAATATTTATGAAATACTAATAATTTGCAAAACCCTGTTCTGAAAATTGGGAAGGATATAAAATAGGTAAGCTGTGGCCCCACATATCCCAAACAATCTATATGAGAAGAATATTACATGCATTTGTGACAATAAAGCAATATAATTCAAATATGCATATTTTTATGGCTAAATAATCATTTGTGAGCAAAGAATAGTGAATAGGTACAGAAACAGTGAAAATGTAACTGTGAACAAGACATGGGCCCTGTTCTTTATATGCTAAAATTCAGTGAAAAAAAAAAAAAGAACGACACAGAATTAAGGCAGAAATAGATCACTGTCAACCAGGGGGAATTCAATAAATGGGTCAAACCTGTAATTTTTTTCAAGGCCAGCTTGAATTTTACCCTTCCATGAGATTTTCCCTAACTAAATTACCCTCTGGTAAGTTTCCTTAACACCTACATAAAATCAGCACTCGGATTTTTGCTTAGGTTTATATTTTCTCAAAAGTATCCATTAGTTATACTATAGAACATAAACATGAGAGCAGGAACTTCATCTTATTTAGTTTCCTTTAAACTTTATAAACACTAAATATTGTAAAAAAAAAATAGAAATATACAAATTATTTATACTATTAAAAAATCTTATATTACTGTAAAATGTTTTTGGAAAAGGAGTGTGGAAGGGTAGGAGAGTCTTCCGAAAAGTCCAGAAAACTTCCTTTTTTGAATATATATATATATGTGTATATATGTGTGTGTGTATTGCATCCCAAATAGGAATACATTAAATATTGAAAGAATTAGTCAAATGCTTGTTCCCTAATTTTAGTTAGGAGACTTTACATCAGGCAACTGTACTATTTCCACATATTCTGTACAATTGCTGTCAATCATGACATGTGATTTTCCTTTTATCAGGCATTGCATATTAATTTCCTTTGAAATATTTCTGATGTAAAGCACTATCACTTTGTGATAAAGATGAAAAGAAAAAATATATGGAAACACTATCAAGTTTGAAACATTCTGTAAAGGTAGCTTGCTTTTCTCAACTTCTAAAATCTGCTATTATGCTAGTTCTGTCCACTCTTGGCAAGATGGATTTTGGTCACAATGGGGAATTTCATACAGAATGGCTGACACTAGTTTGTTGTTTTGCTAACCTTTTTTCACATTTCAGAGGTATATGTTAATGTGATGTGTGCGTGTGTTCTTTAAACAAAATACTCTTTAGGATGTCTCAGATCCTCAGTGACATTCATAGTATGAAGTTTTTGCCATTTAAAAGTGCTGATGTTGATAAAACACAGTGAAAGAAGTCACTGCACAATGCTATTTTCACTTTGTCAGGCACTCTGTAGTGGCTTAAACAAGATTTGAAATTGTCATAGTAATGTAAATAGGCATATCATTTTTTCTTAGGCCTTTTTATGCAAAAGAAAAAAGAAAAAGTAAAAAAAAAAAAAAAAAAAAAAACCAGCCAAGGAAAAATCATTCAAGTGAAGAAACTTGGTTCACACACATAGCCTAGCTCAAAATCCATAAAATGTAGTGGCTGTAATGGATAGTTTCAGGGAATGTTTTTTCACTTGTGTAACAATTTTATATTCTTCATTTCTAAAAGAAATTCAAAAAGCTTTCATATTCCTCATTTCTATAAAAAATGAAAACTAGTGAATGAAAAACAATTAATATTTACAATATCATTCAGCTCCATGGCAGACACAAAAATCAACTAATTATAGTTTTCATACATAGCAACAAATAATTGAAAATATAGTTCAGGGATATGCTGCTTACAATTGAAACAAATATTTTAGAATAGGTGAAAATAAGGCCAAAACACAAGTGCAAGATTAGAACCACAACACAAAAGAAACATTGTTAAGGAACATTTAAAATAATTCAAATAAAAAAATAAATAAATAAAAATAAAAATAAATAAAATAATTCATATCAATAGGTAGATTATGTTCCCAGGCAAAAATACTCTAATATTACAAAGATACGAGTTTTCCGTATAAAGTTAGATAATCACTGCAGGATTTCCAGAAAGCTTGATAAGCTAAAGTTCACAGGAGAGAAAAAATGGATGTAAGGAAAGAGAAAAGATTTAAATGAATGAAAGCAGACATGCCCTATCAGATGTCAATGTGGTCTATGAATTTTTTATAATTAAAGTAGCACATGTCAGCATAGAAATAGACCAATGAAAAGAGTGGGTAATGCAGAAAAGACACCATTATTATTGGAATATAGAAGACTATAAAAAAGTCGTGTGATAATTAAGAGCATGCACTCTGGAGCTAGCATGGCTTGGTTCAAGTCTGAGTCTGACACTAAATTGTCACTGTGGGAAAATTATTTACCCTCACTGAACTTTGATAACCTAATGTATAAAATGGAGATAATAACAGTACCAACCTAGTTTTAGGATTAAATTTTTAAGTAATATAAATACTTGAAAAGTTGGGCTGGCTTCCCAGGTGGCTGAGTGGGTAAAGAATCCACCTACATTTCAGGAGACACCAGAGATAAGGGTCCGATCCCCGGGTCAGGAAGATTCCCTGGAGAAGGGAATGGCAACTCACTCCGGTATTCTTGCCTGAAGAATCCCAGGGACAGAGGAGCCTGGCGGGCTACAGTCCATGGGGTCACAAAGAGTCGGACACGACTGAAGCAACTGAGTCCGCATCCTCATCAGCAATCAAAAGGTATTATTTATAATTATCATCATCTCAGTAAGACAAAGAACAACTACTACTATTAATTTTAAGCCAGTGGAGAAAGGATAATTGGTTTCTTGTTGAAACCAGACTTAAATTACTATAGCACATCGTTCACAAAAATAATTTCCAGATTTATTCAAAGCAGCTAATTTTTAAATTTCTAAAAATTATATTTGAATTAAAACTATGCATGAAAACATATTATAAGTTTGTAATGGGAAGACCTTTCTAAGCCAAAGTCTAACAGCTATAAATATAATTATTGAAAAATGTATATGTGCTTTCCGCATCACCAAGATAGCAGTTCATACAGCATTGTTCTGGATTCCCATCATAAATTAAAGGGAAACTTTCACAATGTCCAAAGTCCTTGATGTCCTGCAAATGAAGGAGAAGGATG